CAAATCCATTTGTGGATATTTGTTAAAATGATCATTTGTGAATATTAATATAATTTGGATTTAAATAGTGCTAATGTATTTTTAGGAAGTTTTCTTCACATATTAATTTTATTTATTATAGAAAAACCTTTGAATTGTTTATAGTGCTCAGTAAAGTCTCTCTACCTTCCTCAGAATTAAACCTACTAAATGAGCTATTTAAATGATTGTCTATTACATAACAGAGTTCTTTTTTTATCATTAACCTTTCCTTCTACCCTATTTGAGGGCTTCATTTGTACAACTATTGCCACTGAACATTCAGCTTTTCTTAAGGCAAATACGATTTGCAGAGGGAGACAGCACATCATTGCTGACAGTGAGTTCTGTGCAGTTAGTCACTTGCTCTGCTGTGCAACTTATTTTAATTTGTCTTACAGGAAACAGGGGAGCTCTAAAGGGAACTAAGAAAAGCACTCTCCACTTGGTGTTGCAAAGCACTTTATCATGCAGCATTCCCATAGCTCATCCCCTCACCTAACCTCACCCCGTGCCTTCGCAGGGGATAAGTTCTTAGTTTTTCTGTAAGTACTTGGTGGGGTGGGGAACCTGCAGCCTCAAGTCCACATGTAGCCCTCCAGATCCCCAAGTGCAGCCCCTCAGCCAAATCCAAACTTCACAGAACAAATCCCTTTAATAAAAGGATTTGTCCTGTAAAATTTGGATTCGGTCAAAAGGCCGCACTCGAGGATGCAGAAGGCCACATGTGGCCCCAAGGCCACAGGTTCTCCACCCCTTATGTAGATGTGGCAGAGGTTATGACTGCTCTGCTGGGGACATGATTGGGCCATTGAAGCTTCTAGCAGCTGGGCAGGCCTAGGGGATCCAGGATAGACAGCAGATTGCAGGGGCCAGAACTGAGGCGTTCATAAGTGAAGGAACCAACTAGTCCATACTGGAATTTGGTTGCTGCTTGGTCCACAGATGGGCTGGAAGTCAACCTCAGAAGATTCATTTGACTTTGAGAAAGAAGAAAATATAGAGGAGGCTTATGAATATGATTGTTTTCAGAGCTTCGTACTAGAGGAAGCAAGGTGCATGGGAATGGGAGCTGGGGGCCGGTAGAGAGTAGGAAGCTAGCAAGAGGGGGGCTGAGATAGACTAATAAAGAGCGCTGATTAAACTACCAGAATTCAGGTTGGTGCACCAAGGAGCCGAAAGGATAGAAAGGCCAGAAAAGTCAGACAGATCAGGTGCAACGTCGATATTTAACAAACATTTACTGAGTGCCTATATATATGAGGTCTTCTTTTCCCCCAATCTGGATGCCTTTAATTCATTTTTTTTTATTTCAGCATATTACGGGGGTACACATGTTTAGGTTACATATATATTGCCTTTGCCCCACCCAAGTCAGAGCTACAAGTATGTCCATCCCCCAGATGCTACACACCACACCCATTAGGTATGAATATACCATCCCCTCCTCCCCCTCCCACCTGCCCAACACCCGATGAATGTTACTACTGCATGCACTTATGTGTTGATCAGTTAATACCAATTTGATGGTGAGTACATGTGGTGCTTGTTTTTCCATTCTTGTGATACTTCACTTAGTAGAATCGGCTCTGTATGAGGTCTTTATTTCATGTCTTCTTTCCACAAATAACTGTAAGGTTGGTATTAATATGTTAATTTTACTGTTAAGGAAAGTAAGATCTGAGATGTTAAGTGGCTTATAGTGGTAGAGCCAGTTAGAACCCAGATCTGTCTGAGTCAACTCCAGTGTTCTTTCCATCACTACATACTGGAGCGAACTGTTCTTCTGGGGTACCTGGGCTAACAGAGCCATCATTTCAGAAGCTGACTCGGAGCCTTCCCTGAATAGACTGTTGCTCCTCTGGAAACCCAACAAGAGTGTTAGATTTTACTTTCTTTAAAAATAAAAGTAAAATCCTGGTGCAGTGGCTCACACCTGTAATCCCAGCACTTTGGGAGGCCAACACAAGAGGATTGCTTGAGCCCAGGAGTTCAAGACCAGCCTGGGCAACATAGCGAGACCTCATTTCTTAAAAAATTTTTTTTAAAAAATTAGCCAGGCGAGGTGGCTTACATCTGTAGTCCTAGCTTCTCGGGAGGCTGAGGCAGGAGGATTGCTTGAGCCCAGAAGTTCGAGGCTGCAGTGAGCTATGATCATGCCACTGCACTCCAGTCTGGGTGACAGAGTAAGAGCCTGTCTCTAAAAAAATCAAAATAGGCCAGGCGCGGTGGCTCACACCTGTAATTGTAGCACTCTGGGAGGCCGAGGTGGGAGGATCACTTGAGGTCAGGAGTTTGAGACCAGCCTGAGCAAGAGCGAGACCCTGTCTCTGCTAAAAATAGAAAAAATTACTGGGCATTGTGGTGCACGCCTCAAGTAATCTTCCCATCTTGGCCTCCCAGAATGCTAGGATTACAGGGGTGTGCCTGTGCCACCATGCCCAGCCGAGATTTTTTTTTCTTTATATGTGTGTGTGCCTATATACTGGATTGTGATGTGTGTGTATATGTAGTATATATTTTGTGTGTGTGTGTGTATAATTTTTTTTTTTAAAGAGATGGGGTCTCACTCTGTCACCCAGGCTGGAGTGTAGTGGCGTGATCATAGCTCACTGCAGCCTAAAACTCCTGGGCTAAGGCATTCTCCCACCTCAGCCTCCCAAGTAGCTGGGACTACAGATGCCCGTCACCATGTCTGGCTAATTTTTTCATTTTTTGTAGAGTCAGGGTCTCGCTATGTTTCCCAGGCTGGTTTTAAACTCCTAGGTTCAAGCAATTCTCCCACCTTGGTTTCCCAAGTGCTGGGATTATAGGCGTGAGCCATGTGCTTAACCTGTGATATATATATATATTTTTACTGCAAGTCATGGTCAAAAATATTTGAAAGATATTTCACTGGGTGACCACCAAGACACCTTCTGGCACTCACTCTATGACAGAGGTCTGAACTGTAAGTCAGAAGACTGATGTCCTCCCTCTGTTCCATAGTAACAAGTCATTATCCCTCAAGTGGTCAAAGTCTAAAGGCCCTTCCAATTCCAGAACTTTTTATTCTAAGAACATCCATTTATTCAGCAAATGTGGCTTGAGCAGTGCCTTTGATGTACTAGGCACTGTTCTAGGTGTGGGGGTACGATAGTGAACAAAACAGACAAAAAACAAAGCCCTTGCCCCTCATGGAGCTAATATGCTAGTGAGGATAGACAGTAAAATAAGTTAGTGAATTATAGCAAATGTTAAACTAATGTAAGTGCTAAGTAGAAGAAATAAGCAGAGAAGAGGGATACAAAATACTAGAGAAAGGCACGAAATTCTAGATGGAGTGGGCAGGAAGCTCTCACAGAAAGGTGTTTTTTGAGTAAAGACCTGGTGGAAACGAGAGCACTGACCATGTGGATACCTGGGGAAGAGCATCCTGGGAGGAGGAAACAGCAGATGCAAAAGGCTATGAGGTAGGAACACGCCTTGAACAGCTGGGAGGCCAGTGCGGTTGGAGTAGAGGCAGCAAAGGTAGTAGAAGATGAACCCGGAGAGGTAACGAGGGGCAGGTCAGATCATGTGGGTGAGAACAGAGTTCTTTAGAGCTGCCTCTAATTCCTCGGTAAGCCGTGGATATCTTCACACAATTATGAGGATCAAGTGAGATGAAAATGTGCTCCCCAGACTGAGCTCCTGTACTAATATGAAGGTCTTACTATTTTTTGTGGATTAATGTAAATGGGCAAGTCAGTGACCATGAGAGAATGCCAGCTGTCTCCTTCAGCCACCCGCAGGCCACTTGGGAGTGGGTAGTCTTCTGGCACGCAGCAGGTCTCTCAGTAGTGGTTGCTCTAGCTGTCAAGAAGCTAAGAGTTTCTTGTTTTTGATTTAGAAGTTCCATCACCCAAAGTTAAATATTCTTCATCGGGAGAACTTCATCTGGAATCTGAAAAATGTCCCTCTTCTGGAGAAATATCTGTATGCCCTGGGCGAGAACAGAAGTCAAAAGATTGTTGAGCAGGTCATTCAGCTGTTCAAGGAGGAAGTAATGACCAAATTAAGTCATTTCCGACAATGTGAGTATTCCCCCAATCAAGTAAGTATTTTTCTCAATATTTAAATTGTCAAATTTCATACTCTCAGAAAAGTATGGAGGAACAACTTAGCTTTATCAAATCTTAAAACTTTACCATATTTGGCTTCGTACTAGAGGAAGCAAGGTGCATGGGAAT